ATTGGCTTTCTCCTTCTAAAACAAAAGAATGAGTTAAAAATAACTTTAATATTGTTAGAGATGGTGAGCTAAGAAATGCTCAAAAGATTTTTGGTGATTTAAGTGGAAACAGAGAAAACTGAGTTTTAGTGAGTCTTTGTGGAATTTTCAAGAATGACTCCCATGTAGCTATTATCGTAGCGATAATAGCAGTGAGCAGCAGTATGACCAATTTTGTTGTATACTTGACAAATCGGTCTGGAGTTACCGCTGTTTCTTCCTCCTCTTCTTGAATTATAGCGACCTCTTATGTTAAAGTTGTTGTTACACCCTCCTCTATTGGCCAGTTGAGAAAGGGAGTTTCGATGGTTTTTGTTGCTTCTAATATTAGAAAATTTTGTTGATGGTTGATCGAGGCTAAGATTTTTCGTTGCAGAGTTAAGTTGTTCAAGCCTTCTTTCGTAATTTGGCAACCTGCACTGGAGCTCTACCCAGCTTATTCTTTCTTTCTCTGTGATTTGGCATACTAGCGGGTTGTATTCAAAGGACTCCAGGCTAGCAAGTACTTGTGAGAGGAGATCTTCTATAGTTACAGGATGACCTGTTAGAGCAAAGTTATCTGATATATTCTTTGTGACTTTCAAGTATTCTTTCATTTTTAGTTGGATGGCTTACTAGGATAATTTGTTGATCTTGAAAAGTTTGCACACTTGGTTGCTTTAGGTTGCTGATGGTGGCAATCACAAAATAGAGCAACGTTCTTCACAATAAGGTGATTCTTCTTCTTAATGCCCCAATAACTAATTTCCATTACCATAAATTTTCTAGCTATTATCACTTTGCATCAAGTCGCCATCTAATTGTTTGTTTGGTAATTATATTTTATAAATATATCAAATTATTCTCCATGAGTTTTGTTACAAAGTGAAAAGGAAAATTTTCTAAATAAATAAAATTTCAAATTCTCAAAAATTATTACTCTTATCAATTATTTATGCTTTGAAAAAGATAAAGAAATAATTGTTGGTGTGCAATTAATATTATTGTCAAGTAATGAGTAATATATGAGAAGTGCAAATTGACCATATTGCACCAATGATATATATGCAGGCTATGTAAGTCCAAGAAGTTTGTAATTATTACTTCCCAAACTGATGTACCGGGGTAGATATGTAATTATCTTCAAAAACCCTAGCACATAAACTGTTTCATGCAGCTTCCAGGAAGTAGGGTTTTCATGAAATTAAAACGAAGAAAAACAAATAAATAAAAAGATATATTGTTAGCAATGAAAGGTGCAAGAAGCTCACTATGCCACCATAAAATTTTATCTTATTATCTGTACCTGTAATTGTTTTCAATGTCCAAACTTCTCTTTCCTGGAAAAAAAAACCCTCAAATCTTCTCTTCCCCCAATCTTTATATAATCCCCCTCCTCTTTTCCTCCTTCTCCATCACTCCTATTCATGTACTTTTTCCTCGCTTGATTACAAGCTTTTTCGACACTCGCTTCGTGTACAAATATCTGCATCAACAATCCATATCCTTCTTTTCTTAATTCCTCTCCAGAATGGAGTTGGACATTGCGGTGGATTTTCAAGACTACTTTCCGTCGATGATGGAGAGATTGGGCGCAGAAGGGTTCATCGGAGAGCTCTGCAACGGATTCCGGTTGTTGATGGACTGCGATAAGGGGCTGATTACGTTTGAGAGCTTGAAGAAGAACAGTGTGATCTTGGGGGTGCATGACATGAGAGACGAGGAGCTGGTTTGCATGTTGAGTGAAGGAGATTTGGACGGAAATGGAGCTTTGAACCAAATGGATTTTTGTATTCTCATGTTTAGGCTGAGTCCTGGGTTAATGGATGGAACCAAACACTGGGTACTGCAGGAGGAATATGGTATAAATTATGTATGAACTGATATATAATTATACAGTAATTATATATAAACTCCTGGGTACCACTCCTTTTATTTATATCTTCACTTATTCCTCTTATTATATATAACTATCGAGAGACCCAAATAAAATTGAAAATAATGGCGACTACCATGTAAAATTAATTATTTGTAGTACCCGATATATATATTAATTGAAAATATTTTCTGTTTCATGTCAATATATATACAGAGACATACATATAGAACTCTACGATCCATCTGGTATAAAATTTAAGCTTTGCGATATAAATGATCTTTAGAGCCATGTTTAAATTATAATATGTATATATAATTTATATGTCATGTTGATACAAAAAGTGTGAGATACATAGTACATATAAGATGAATTTCTATTGACCAAATATTTCAAGGCATTCAATTCGCAAGTGTGCCGAGGAAGAGATGGGCCGGGAAACATATAAATATATATATATATATATACACACACACTGTAGCCTCAAGGGATCATGGGTCTCGACAGCATATATCTATATACGTATCCCAGCTAAAATTTAATAATATGTGAATATTACATATAAATATATATATACACACACACACACTAACAAAAGTAATTACGATTAATTATTGATGAATCTATTACACACAAATACACGTGTATATATATATATATATATATGTGTGTGTGTGAAACCTATATCAATAATCAGTTAGCTTTTCATATAATTGCTATAAGAGTTGAGTGTGAATTATTCTCCCAAAATATGAGGGTCAGCTTTTTCAGAAGGTTTAGAAGCTTTTTGTACTAGAAAGTCGTCATTTTTTGACTGAAAAAAGGTGTCGTGTCCTTAGTGGAGGCAAATCTTCTTAAATTTTTAGCTTTTGTACTCATATAATATATATATATATATATATATATATTTATAACTAGCTTTTTAATATGTCTTTCACATGTAATATAATTTTAAAAATAATAATTATATAGAAATAGTATATAATAAACCAACCCCTCCCCCTATAAAAAAAAAAAAAGGTGACTACATCTAAATAAATTCACTTATAGTATTGGTAAAGATCTTTTATACTTGGATTCAATTCAATGAAAGATCTATCTTTCAAGATTTTTTCAAAAAAACACACAAATCAATTTACTCTTTCACAATTTGAATCATACATATATTTTCCGTATGATTGGTAAGTAAAATCTTGAATAAATCATGTAATTGAGCTAATTAAGATTTACGAAATTTATCTAGTGTGCGAAATTAGAGTGAGCTATCTACTGGGTACTACTAATTTTTATATCTCTATTTTTATATTATACGTTGTCTGCTTTTAATTACCATTTAGTACTTGTCGAAATTAAGGAGAAAAGTTTTCTTCTTCTTGGAACATATTTATTTTCTCTCAAGCTTCTTCTTTATCACTTAACTCGTTTTTCTTTCTCTAAACCATCTTTGTCTCTTATTTTTCTCTTTTTTCTGGTCATATCTTGTAATTGTTGATCGTTTCTTTACTTACGAAGAAAGTAGAGTAAAATCTAGATAGATGACAAAATTGTGTTGCACTACGCACTTAACTTTTATTAATCTCTAAAGATTAAAAATCAAATTTGGTAAAATTAGATGAAAAATAATAATACCTACAAAAAATAGTTATTTTTAAGAAAATTCTAACAATAGTCGAAATGTCTATATAATAGATACTATTTAATTTACTAATTACTATTTGTTTTATTATTTATTAATTAAATCGTTACCAAACTCGGTCGAATCTTTTACTAAAAATAAAATAAGTGTATTTTATGTATTTTGAACAGATATATACTTATCTAGATAAGCAAAATCTTAAGTAGGAAAATATTAAATTAAGTATAACTTAAATTTTATATCATAAATTTTAACTCACAAGCCGAACCAAAATATCACAACTTTTTCCATCAATCCTGTATGTTGTCCTTTTAATTCTATATTGAAATAAAAATTTATTATATTTTATTTTGTATTAATTTATTAGTTTTTATATTAGTACGCAAGATTTTACTTCGAGATTTTATAAAAAAATTAAATAAATAATTCTTTGCTTCTTGTCTTAGGAATAAAAAAAAAGATATACCATTCATGATATAAATATATATATATATATAAGAGAGAGAAATTGTGGGCATTTCATATTTTGATTTTTACACTTCTTGCCATTTCCTTCATGCATGGCTAGCAAATGAAAAAACATAGACAGCAATATTTTACCATTACAAGAATGATAACTATAATAATGAAAATCTAGATTAGCAAATAACTTTGTATATAGTAATTAATTATTTAATATTAATTAAAATCAGTGATAAATACAAGAAACAATTAATTAATTATTGTTTTTACAAAATCATCCATATATATATAACTTATATTATATCCCAAATCTTATCCAAGAATGTCACACTATTTTTAATAATTAATTTAAAATTAATACCTTTCAAATTCTTTTACAGCATTTTCTTTTTTTATTTTTAATTTTTTTGTCCAACAAGTTTTTTTTTTTTTTTTTTAAATCCATTAATTAATTATACTAGTCCTTTATTACTGTTAACCAATCAGATTTCGTTTTCGCATGGGTGGTGGGCCCAAAATTCAACGTGTCGTGCATTGGACGGATTGGCACAAACGGTACTAAAACATAAAACTCGATGAATGGAAACGACGTCGTTCGAGGCTCCGGCTTCTTGGGCCGTCTTATAACGCTCCAATTTAATTCAAAGAATCGTTTTTCATAATATTTGAACTCATCAACAATTTTAAGTGCAATTATGGCTTCTAAATTTTATTAAATACATTATTTTAATTCTATTTATAATTTTGTTTTTTAAATTAAAACCCATTATAAAGAAGCCTATATAATTAATATCCTTTCTCCAAAGTGTTAATATATCAACTTTAAAATCCCACATTCATTTCTCAACATCTATATTATATATTAATTCTTAATATATCGAGTTGTAATTTTATCCGAAATTCATGTAGTTAATTCAAATGATATATTTATATGACTTCTCTTTCGATAAGTCTAACCACAAATTTATTTTTAAAAAATTAA